CCTCAGGTAGTGTAGATTCAAGTTTGTTCAAATGATGACCCCTGGGATAGGGAGGAGCCACACTGGGGGATCAAATTTTTACAAAGGAATATATAGCAAAAATTTTGTTAAAAATCTTCTCAAGTACAACAAAGCCATTTGTTATATTGACATGGAAGCATCATCAAGTAGTGTAAAATTCCAGCCGCCCCCCCCCCCTCCCCCCCCCCCCCTTCTTTGTAATATTTTCAGTACTGAACTGATTTGTGCTTTTGCCTAGCCAATGTGCTCAGGGGAGCGTTGTGGCCCCTGGGCCTCTTGTTGTTTGAATCAGATGATAACTTCCTGTTTATCTGTGCATCTGTTCGTACCAAATTTCCGTCACAGTTTTCTCAGCAACTACTCAGCGCAGATGCTTGAAATTTTAGCACACTCTTTGTTTAGGCATGCCATATGGTGGGATTCATTTTGTATGAATTCAGTGTCAACATGAGAGGGTATATTCTAGGGCTGTATCAGTATTTCAATATATATCGATATTTAAGGATGTATCGTATCAAAACAATAACTTCCATTACGTATCGGACAGGCAGATTTTCTGATAAATCTGTGAAAAAGTTGGGAATTTCAATCACCAATGGTTATATTTTCACTGTTTTGAATTAAAATTGATCAATAATGATATAATCATTAAGCAGATAGCACATCTTAGATAAATATTACAAAATACATAGACAACTTTATTTTAACATGTTGATTTCACAGTCATTAAAAGTTTGAATTTGAAATGTAATTTGTAATGACAGTGAGACAAGAACTTTGAAATGGATTATAAAACAATAAGTTTTTTTTTAAAATTCATGCATTAAATGATTTATAAGACTTTTTAGATAGACTTGTTAAAGAATCCAATATATCGGATATCACATTATAAAATATTGTATCGTATCGATTTTTTTTCGCTCAATACACAGCCCTAGTATATTATATTCACATCAGAGCAGGGGTTTTACTAATGAGCATTCGCTCACAGACTTCTTGTTTTTAGCTTACCTGAGCTGAAAGCTCAAGTGAGCTTTTCTGATCACCCGCTGTCCATCGTCCGTCCGTCCGTCTGTACACTTTTCACATTTTCAACTTCTTCTCAAGAACCACTGGGCCAATTTTAACCAAACTTGATACAAAGCATCCTTGGATGAAGGGAAGTGTAAATTGTTAAAATGAAGGGCCAAGTTTCCTTCAAAGGGGAGATAATCAAGAAAAGACAAAAATTGGGTAGGGTCATTAAAAATTTTCTCAAGAACCACAGGGCCAGGGCTGAAACTTATGTGGAAGCATCCTAAGGTAGTGTAGATTCTAAATTGTTCAAGTCATGACCCTAGGGGGTAGGGTGGGGCCACAATAGGGAATCCAAGTTTTACATTGAAATATGTAGTAAAATTACTTCGCATTAGCTAAGCAAAGCTAATTTGAATTAAATTTTGAAACATGCGTAAGGCAGAATTAAGTCACAGGCCACATGTCGATGGTGAAATATGGGTACTTGTGCTATTTTTGAGTGGAAGACAAAGGAAAATTATGTTAATCACTAAATTATGTCAAATGTATGTACCTGCTCTGCACAATATGACATGATTTGTAAATGACATCATAAAAGCCTCACTGAATAGCCTTGTTGTAGAAATAAAATTATAATTCGCATTAGTTTACTTCACATTAGCTGTCGTGTGAACGCAATTTAATTCGCATTAGATTAATTCGCATCATTTTACTTTGCATTAATTTACTGTAAATTAAACTCTCTGTGTGAACAGGGCATAAATTGTTCAAATCATGACCCCAGGGGTAGGGTGGGGCCACAATAGGGAATCCAAGTTTTACATTGAAATATGCAGAAAAAAATCTTTAAAAATCTTCTTCTCAAGAACCACTGGGCCAGAAAGGTTGAAAGTTACTTGTAAGCATCCTGGGGTAGTTTAGATTCTAATTGTTCAAATAGATCGGGGCCACAATAAGTACTACAAGGGGGGGGGGGGATCAGCTGAAAAACGGCAAGGCCAGAGTTACTCAGGTGAGCGTTGTGGCCCATGGGCCTTTTGTTTTTCATTTTACTTTAATATTTTATTTTACTTAATTATTTGTCATTCAAAATTGGCAAACGTACATTTATTGTTCATGGGGATGAGACCGGATGCAACAAACTTAAGTCCTGTGTCACAGTAGGTGCTGGCACACAAAAAGTCCCTTTACTGCTCAATGGCCTTGAGTGCTGAGTCTATATGTAAGTCTAAATTTTCAGCCCTCAACCAGCAATGGTGGTGTCTCTACATTGTATTTGAGTACAAAATATTCGAGAGGGAGATGTTAAACAAAAAACAAACATTTATTGTTCAAAATTATTTCAAGGAAACAGATTAATATAAGTTGCAGCATCAATTTGTTTCTGAATCTTAAGTGTATACAGATTATTGAGTGTATATGTATGTTGACTTATCCAAATGAAATGAAGTTCAAATCAACTCTTGCTAACATAATTATTATTTAGTGAACCCTTTCAGGGGTTGAAATTTTCCTGGAAATCCCACTAGCCCAGGGGCTTCTAATTAGTAAAAAAATTACTAGCCCAAACCTCAAACTAACTAGCTCAACAATTTTTCTATGCAAAATGAAAATGTAACAAGTTAAAGTTTCACACATTTTGGTGACAGAAACAAATTAAACTATTTCTCAGTCAAAAGAAACCAGTCTACATAGAAAAGAGAAAGTGAACTGACGAGAAATTTTTTTCCCGTTCTGCTAGTGCAATGGACTATCATTACATTTAAATTAGCTAGCAGGGCTCTCACACCACTTTTTGGGAATGGGGCCAGGCTGTAAAGATTGGGAAAATAAAGACCTTTTGGGAAATTTTGGGATAACCATTATATGTACTTTAAAATCATATATATTGGGTTTCCTGTCTTTGCTATCAACTAAATTTGTTTTACAAAACAGAGGAATATGAATAGCAAGTTAAGTTATTATATTTCCAGCTATATTTTCTTTTATTAATTTTTGGGAGAAATATGACTATTGGGAAAATTAACACATTAATTGGGAAAAAAGTACCTTTTTTGAATTGGGAGTGGGGCCCTTGAACGGCCCCAATTATAGACAAATGAGAGCCCTGGCTAGCCTGAGTCTTAAAACGACTAGCCTGCTAAAATGACTAGGACTACCATATATTTCAACCCCTGACCCTTTGCACATCAGAGAGTGTTTTCTGTGTAATGCATGAGCTCCCATGTAACACTTCACTATTGCAAACATATGGAAAAAAGACAGCTTGTTTTAAAATAATTTATCTGCATCTCTAGCATGTACTGCCTGATCTTGATTTATCTCAGCTGTACATCTATCAAGGGCAAAGTTATGCACAAATTTGTTTTTTTTTTTTCCCTGCCTTAGGTCTTTTTGGCATGACCTCTAACAGTTTTGGTCTTTTTAATTACCTCACCTGAGCTGAGGCTAGGTGAGCAATGAGGCCCATGAGCCTCTTGTTGACTTTCTGATGGACTCTGACAAATGTTGAGTGTCAAAATAATGAATTGGTTTACTTTGCAGCAGACCATCCTCATAGAAGAAATCTGCAGCTTGACTAGCAGAGCTGTCCAGATCAGTGGTTACCTCCCTTTCTTCAAGGGAGTTCTGCCATCCCCTCCCTAACCCAGGTGAACTCATCCCCAGTAGTATGCTGCACTGGTAGATTTGCCCCACACACCCCAGGACTGCAGTGCTTGTCAGCAGTGCCTTCATCCAGTAAGTGGCTATGTTTAGAGCAAACTTTATTTTCAGTAACCATTTTATTAATTTGATGTTTGGTTGTGATATTCTCAGCAAATGAGTACACAGTCTGTGTCACTGGCTGGAATGGTGTTTTACCCACCTCTGAGTACAAGGGTTATTATTCATGCCAACACACCGTACAGGGATGTCGTGGGGGAGTCACTTCCCCTAAGGGTGTTGACATCTACCAGCTGGTGACATTCAGCCTCATTAAGGGTTTCTATTGTGAGCATGATTTTATTTGATGTTTTTTGTAGGGACTGCAAGAAAGAAGGGCAGTGTTAGTAGAAGGAAGAATTTTCCTCACCCTACCATTACCTAAAGGGGGTTGCCCAGTGACTAAGTCCAACTTAAAGACCATGGTGTAGAGTGTGTATCTTTTCTACCCAGGGATTTGGTCTCTACATCCTCATAATAATTGTACTGCCTTGATACAAACAAATAATATTCACGCAGAGGAGTCCCATTCTGCTCAGGTAACTGCATCTGTCATTAGATGCCAGGTCCCTCACAAGGAGTCCATCACAGCCAGGTCACTGCATGATGCTGGTGCAGTGAGACAACTTCATTTCACATCTCGGCTGTTTTTCCAGAATGTAGAAGTCTGTGGGAATTTTGTTTAGCAAGCTTAGGTAAAGTCATAATGGTTCATTTGCATAGAACAATCAACGCAGCTAAAAGAGCATAGCAGCAGATATGAGTAACTTCCCTTAGACTTACTGACATGACATACAGAACTTCAACATGATGTATAATTTTAAAATGATATTCAGCTGCATGTATCATTTTGACCTTGCATGTATTAACATGTATTACATGTAATTGTGTATGACATGTATTCCATTCTTAGAGGGTTAATTTTTTTATATAATCTGATAAATAAATAGTTAAAGGTCTTATGCAAGGAAATAGCCAATCAAAATGAATTTAGTCAATTGTAGTTCTATATATATAGAGACAATTTCTTTTTCTTTTTTCATTTTCGGCAACCTTTTTTTAGGTCTACAGTTTTAATTTTGGACTCACGTACTAGGAACATCATATCTTTAGCAGAATTCTGCCACTGAATTAAAGGGAATTCTTTTTTTTAGATGCGCATGATGCAACTTCCTGGATGGTGTGTAGGCTGTTTGTCAACTTCCTGGATGGTGTGTAGGCTGTTTGTCAACTTCCTGGAAGGTGTGTAGACTGTTTGTCAACTTCCTGGATGGTGTGTAGGCTGTTTGTCAACATGTGAAACCCACATGTATTTCAGGGTAGGTATGTATACACTCAATTTTCTTTCTTAAAAGCCGCATAAGGCGTGTTTTTTCTGATCTCAAAGTTTTGTCTCAGCATTAATCTTTATTTCCTCTTTCATGAATTATCTGCTGAGAGTCTAATTAATTAATTGATTTAATTAAAGCTACATAGTAACATATAGTGAAATTATTTCTATGTGTGAGACTTAAAGAGGAACGGGTAACTCTCATTTTGACTACAATTTCTTTGATTTCAGGAGTAGTCTCCCCTTTTAAAGATCAAAAATGGCGGATATACAATGCGGCATGCAGTCTGGTCTTCAACGGAGAGTTTTGACACCCGTATACCCGTATTTCTACCAATCACCTCTGTAACCTTTGTTGTGTTCATCAGACAGGTAAGAAAAACAAGATTATTAATTAAAATAATTCTAATGAGATAAATAATTAAGAATAAAACATATTTACATGCACAGACTCCCTCGTATAAGAAAATGTCACATTTTACACATACAATTGTACATCATTTACATATCCACATTTTCCCCATTTACACAGTTGAATAGATTCAGTGCATAATAATACATAGCAACAATTATTACATGTAAGACAATTCACAAAATATTTATTAAATACAAATTTCATACATTTAAATTAAATACACAGCATCAATGCACCCCCCCTCCCCCTTACAGTCTTACAACTTCCTTTTTAATTTTGGATCTGTTAGTAATTTACAGTAAGTGTCTTCAGATTTTTTATCGTACAGCTGATATCTTTTAGATCTATAGTATTTTCATTGAGATTTATATTTTAACTTTTTTTGTTTAATTTTAAAGTAATTTTTACTATTTTGTTGTTTTAGATGATGGACCACTCTACTTTCTTTTATAACAGGTGCCCCTACAGATTCACAAAGTTCCAATGTTGAGTTTCCATGACCGCTATTCAGTGAGTGCACAACTTTATGTATTCTACTTTCAAATTTCTACTACTTGTAATACATTTTGGATTTGATTTTAAATATGCCCTATTCACAGATTCAGATTTTTGTGCACAAGTATGATATTTAATTCTATCAAGATTACTTCGTCCTAAAGTCAAATTTATACAGTCTTTTAACAAACATTTGTCATCTTCTGTCATGTTTAATTCAAAGTCACTAGGCAACACTGAAGACTTCTACTTATTGCTTTTCAGTCCGTGTCAGGAAAAGGAATAAAGTTGACAGGACTTTCCGCACTGTCCTTGGTAGCAGCTTATGATGGAACCAACAGCAGTGGATATTGCCCGCTTCATCAAAGGTAAGTCTCCGGAGTAGTGTTTGCAGCAATTCTCGTACTCTGTCCTGCATCGAAGCTTCAGGTCCAAGGCAAATCTTCTCTGCATGGATTCTCTTATAGCTTTGGTTCTTCCCAGGAACATGTGACTGCTGAATGGAGCCTTAGCAGTCTGTTTTCTTTGAGAGTCAGAGAAGTGACGCAAGTCTTTAAGGTTTTCAATCACATGTCCTTGTTTTACAGATGCTCCAGATGCAGCGGCACTATCTCCATCACTGGTGAAATGGGAAATGACGAGTGGACGGTCATCACTTTGTAACTCCCCGATACAGTTTGCGGCCCATCTCTTCTCATCTCCTATGGTGGTCTCCGGAGGAACGGTTGCAGTGCAGTCTTCGTGTCCTGGGCAGGTAACTTCCTTTCCTTTCCTTCGTAGGTGTGTGCCCTTCTTGCATAGTTTGTTGCCACAGAACACTGCCACAACATTTTTCCTCTTGAGTTACATTTTCACTTACGGACTTACGGTATATGGCAGCTTGGAATGGGGTTTTTCCAATGGCACTGAAGGTGGCATTATTATACCTGGCATCTCCTTCCGCTCTGATAGCGGTATCAGGAAGTCCACATTTTTTATTAAGTTCTTGAATGTTCTGCCTTATTTTCTTCATACTGTTTTTATTTACTTTGGTGATAATTTTCCCCACTTTGTTGCAGGTCTGTTGCATGTTGGCAGCTGATGCTGGTTCAATATTTGCACCAAGAAGCATACCACGCATACCCTCTGTTGTAAGACTGGTACCCAGGTGACCGACAGCCATGGCCACATTTAGCTGTGCAGCTCTTTGTCCCCTTCCAGATCTCCTCATCTCTTCGTAAAGCTTTTCTCGGTGACTGGTATAGTGGCACTTCTTACATCGGATGGAAAGGATCCATGACAGGCCTCGTTTTTCCTCCCCATGCTGGTTCCAGTCCAGTGAACTGTCACAGTCTGGAAACTTATGTGAGTGTTCTTTAAATGCCTGATTCCACAATTTAGCAATCTTTTCTTGGTGAAGGACTTTGTATAGTTTTGAGTTTGGGTCATCTGACACAGCTTCCATGTAGGAGTCTACAGGCTGAACTTCACTTGGCCCGGGTCGCAAAATCTTCATCTCACTGCTTCGGCTCTTGGCATCTGTATCTGCAAACATTCCATTTTTCTGTGGCCATACAATGTCCCGAAACTCTTCTTTACTTAGTCTTCTCATGGGAACTAGAAATTGGACTGGGCTGGTGGTCCCTATATTCTTCTAGCCTTTATTGTAAGGATTACTTCCTTTTTTGTATTGATGTTGATGCAACCATTTTGGTCCCTTTTTTGGCATGATTATTATTTAACTGTACACTTGTAGACTTTTTCTAATAATATGCTATTGTATGTGGTGCACATTTTTAAGTATTGTGTGACAGGATTTGGTTTTACCATCAGTCTTAGGTACCACTCACGGCACCAATGTAACCGTATTTGATCGTATGAAAGTACTTCTTTTATTCTCAAAATTAACTTATTAAATAACACACATTTTCTTTATCAATAATAGTACTTCGCGTTTTGTACCAACTTCTTATTAACCATTAATAAACCTTTTGTATCTCAAATAGTCACGAAAGTGACTTACTAACCCAAGAATTTTAATAACAAGAGTTTGCAAATTAACAAGTATCTATTATGGCAACAATTGTGTTTAATTAACAGCACAAAAATATTTACATTTATATATTTACAACGAAAACTGATGTACTAATGACCTTCCTATATACTTATGGGCCTCAATAAAAAAATATTGCCTACCTAACAGATGTACGAAGTCCAGAGCCCGTTCTACCCAATGCTAAGTCCGAAGAGAAGTGACCCACCCCTGCACGAAAAATCTACTATGCCTAACCTAACTGGTTTACCAAAAATAGAAATAAGGAACTGGAAATTAACAATAAAATGGATGTATAAATAAGGAAAACAAAAAGGACAACTTAAACGAATGAACGAGACAATTCATTACTGAGAATTTTGAACGGGACAGAGACAGAGACCGGGATCCACCCCGATTATCAGAAAGTGAGCCGGCACGAACCTTTGAGAAGGTTCCAAACCAACTGATCTACACGTGAAATACTGGACTTTAAATACACTGCGATCTGAAGGTGTGTCTCTTTTATCCAATCAAAATCTACGTTCTATGTATAACCCAGACAAGGACGTTTCCCAAATCATTGTATAAAGCTAGAAAGTTTCCGAATGTATAATAAACGATCTAACCAATCCAAGTTATCGTTATTTACTAGCTCAGTAAAATCCAATCCTATCACAATTGTAAACTTTTGTGTTGTTTATTTATTTTAGAGCTGCCTGGTCTACTAAGAGAAACTCCATTCTTTGATGACTGATGGAAAAGCCTCATCACCCCCCACTGCTAAAGAACCCCTTATCTTAATCACTAGCCATTAATCAGTGATGACTGTTATCAAAGCTCCAAGGTACATTATTGAAGTCTCTTTTGACACCATTTTTTCCAGTCTCTGACTTTGTTTTAGAATTAAGATTTTCAATTTTTTGCTAATTAATTCTGTATAAATCACTAAACTTCCTGTTTCTTAACTAATTAGAGCTTATTAATTAGAGTTCAAAAAACTTTTAAGCAGATAGCCAAAAACCCAAACATTTCAGCTTGCATTTCATTCCAAATTTTTTTCTCAATAATTAACTCATAAGATTTTTTTAAGTTTTGAAATTAATATACTGTAGATGAATTTGTATAGAAATTTAGCCTAAAATTCAATAATCTGTTAGGAAGAGTTATCTCCTATTTTTCATCCCTTAAGGACAAAGATAATTTTGATGCACTAGTATATGAAAGATAAATAACTAAAAGACATTTTCTGCAAATTTTATTTAATTTCATTAACTTTTAGTCGTCTTAAAGGTCTTACGCAAGGAAACAGTCAATCAAAATGAACTTAGGCCAAACAAAAAGATATGTGTGGTTCCGGTTACACCTCCAAAAAAATTAGGGTAGGTAGGTAGGGTCTTTTTTTTTTTTTTTTAAATGATTTTCTTAATTTTTCTAAATAATACCTATCACTCCTTTGCAAGTGGCATTTAGATGTGGTATGATAATATACTAGTCAATATTGGTAGGGGACACCTACATGCTAGTTTGCTTTGGATTTAACACTATTAAACACTTGCACTATGTTTTTGCAAGGAGGCCTTCATTGCTGGAACTAAAACTTAAACCGGAGCCATAGGTAGAAATCTGGGAAAATTCCGGAAAAAATATGAAAATTGCCGAGAAAAAGTTTAGGGTCTGGGGTACAAAATAGGGACGGTCGGGTAATCGGAACCACACATATTTTTTTATTTGGCCTTAGGCAATTGTAGTTCTATATATATATATAGAGAGAGAGAGAGAGAGACAATTTCTTTTTCTTTTTTAGCTCACCTGAGCCGAAGGCTCAAGTGAGCTTTTCTGATCACTTTTTGTCCGGCGTCCGTCTGTCTGTCTGTCTGTCTATCTGTCTGTCTGTCTGTCTGTCTGTCTGTAAACTTTTAACATTTTCGACTTCTTCTCAAGAACCACTGGGCCAATTTCAACCAAACTTGCCACAAAGTATCCTTGGGTGAAGGAGATTCAAATTTGTTAAAATGAAGGGCCACGTCCTTTTTCAAGGGGAGATAATGAAAAATTAATAGCATCTTTTAAAAATCTTCTTCTCAAGAACCACAGGGCCAGGAAAGATGAAACTCATGTGGAAGCATCCTCAGGTAGTGTAGATTCAAGTTTGTTCAAATCATGACCCCAGGGGGTAGGGCGGGGCCACAATGGAGGATCAAAGTTTTACATAGAAATATGTAGGAAAAACCTTTAAAAATCTTCTTCTCAAGAACAGCAAAGATATGTTGAGTCATATTTATATGGAAGCATCTTCAGGTAGTGTAGATTCAAGTTTGTTCAAATCATGACCCCCGGGGGTAGGGCGGGGCCACAATGGAGGATCAAAGTTTTACATAGAAATATATAGGAAAAACCTTTAAAAATCTTCTTCTCAAGAACAGCAAAGCCATAATGAGTCATATTAATATAGAAGCATCCTCAGGTAGTGTAGATTCAAGTTTGTTCAAATCATGACCCCCGGGGGTAGGGCGGGGCCACAATGGAGGATCAAAGTTTTACATAGAAATATGTAGGAAAAACCTTTAAAAATCTTCTTCTCAAGAACAGCAAATCCATAATGAGTCATATTAATATAGAAGCATCCTCAGGTAGTGTAGATTCAAGTTTGTTCAAATCATGACCCCCGGGGGTAGGGCGGGGCCACAATGGAGGATCAAAGTTTTACATAGAAATATATAGGAAAAACCTTAAAAAATCTTCTTCTCAAGAACAGCAAATCCATAATGAGTCATATTAATATAGAAGCATCCTCAGGTAGTGTAGATTCAAGTTTGTTCAAATCATGACCCCCGGGGGTAGGGCGGGGCCACAATGGAGGATCAAAGTTTTACATAGAAATATATAGGAAAAACCTTTAAAAATCTTCTTCTCAAGAACAGCAAATCCATAATGAGTCATATTAATATAGAAGCATCCTCAGGTAGTGTAGATTCAAGTTTGTTCAAATCATGACCCCCAGGGGTAGGGCGGGGCCTAAA